GTTGAAGCTAAACGAAATACTGTGTTCTTGATATATTTTGACGCAACGTTTAATATAATGTTTTTGTGAATGGACCATATCTTGTTTTACATTTGCTTCTCCACAAGCTTTGTTGTGGTGCCAGTGATTTCTTACCCCTATTTTTAAACGTGTTTCTTCATAGTCCATTTCAATTGTCATGTTTTTAACTAACCGGTACAATTGCTATACGTTTTTATATACTCCAACTAGCCACATTAATGATGCGGGTATATTGTATAGATCATGATAGTTTTTACAGTCTTTGTCATAATATAATGCTTGTCTAGTCTGTAGTGGGATACTCAATAGTGAGTATAATCCTTTTGGGCTTGCTATTTGTATCCCCCTTCTTTCTAGTTCAATCCCTCCTTCTTCTATTTCTCTTTCGTATACCCTAAAACCTAGCCATGGCTTCTTAGTCTTAGCTACTATCTTAACACTCTTTGGTCACTACCATAAGTTCTATCACTACTATAAATCTTGATATTTGATCAGCCTGTCCAGTTAGATGCTGTAATTAGATCAATTTGTTTTAGCACGAGATACGGTTAGGCATCGTTTGTATACGACGAAGTGGATTCTCTAGAACCTTGATTGTGATAGAGAGGGGAATCTGGGTCAGCAAGTAATGGCTTGAAGTTTTGGGGCGTTACAAAAGAACAAGTATTTTAATAAAGTATAATTATTATAAAGAAACAGATACACAAAATACACCAAGGGATCAGAACTACGCAGGAAAGGTGGGTGGGGACGGAAAGAAAAAGTATTTTGATAAAACTATCAGGTCAGTGTCGAAAATCTGAAGCAATAATGTATTGAAAGGCCTGGTTTCGAAATAATGAACCAAAAAAACTGCAGTCTACATTCGAAATGGTATTTTTTGGGGTATTTCGGGTGCACACCCTAGGACGCAGTCCGATTTGCTCACGAAATGATCCTTTTCCAGAAATGAGGGCGCGAAGGTTTCAAACACAACTGGCGAATCCCGCCACAACCTGCAACCAATCGAGGTTGGGGAGGAGATTGGCGCGAAATTTGTAAGCCAATCCTGAGCAGGCCAATTTTCAGAGGGGGAGTTGGTTGTGACAAAGAAGTAACTGCACCTCGCCACTCAAGGTTGGTTTCAAGTGATAAAATACCAGCAATAACGAACAAAAAAAGCCTGGTTTCGAATAGAGTATTGAAAAATCATAATTTGCTGCAAATACCCCCAGAAGTCGGCCAAATACTTCTGACGTGCGGAAAATTTTGGACTACACTACAAACGTGCTGAATCGGGGAGGGTAATACAAACAAAGCTCACAACAAGCCAAACCAACTCGTCATTCATTTTCAGAGTTTGCTGGTGCAGAGTCGAGCAAAAAACTTCCGTGTCGTCCCGTGGTGTCTCCAGTTTCTGACACTACGAAGCAGTGTATGGGTTTGTCCAACCCTGGGTGAGAAAGAACCAGTTCACTCCAGCGTCATCATTTTTTTGCCCGCGGGCAGATAGCTACGCGACGAAATACACCTACAGAATTGTTCGGTTCATGGCAACTGCTTCGAAATGAATAATATGGTTTCCACTTAGTGCATAAAGAACACCGCGTTCTTAAACTTAGTGCGAAACGCCGCCGTTGTCGGTAGTCATCTTGTTTTCCCAGTACACTAGCCTATCATTGCTGTGTCCTAACCGTGGTGTGACATTGTTGAGGAAAGTGAAATTGGTGTCACAACCGACATGATACAGTAGCAGAATTGTCAAATCAGTTCACTGACCATCAAAGTTTGACCAACACTACAGCTACAGTTCCGAACACTGTAACACGGTCATTGCTCATATTCGATCGTGGTTACCCTAAGGATTTAAAAACGAAAAAGGACAATAACCGATTGTGCATGCATCCCTCCCCTCCATAATTTCCCAACCTTCATTGATTGTTTTCCGGAAGCAACCTGTAAGATGGATAACGAAACGCCCTGCAATTTCTGAAGTAGACTGAGTGGAAAACTTCAGTGCTGGTATAGGTGGGTCATCAGTTACGACTGAAGATGTATGCACGTTCCTGTATCACATCAAAAAAAGGTATAGGTTGGTCACGGCTCGTATTTGTCAGGGTTCAGGAACGGACCCAACCCAACCGCCCTAATGCTGCTTACCACGCGTCTTTCTGACCTCTTCTAAACCTTCAAAACGGGGAATATGACAAAGAATTTTGTTGGGCAGTCTGTCGCTTGTCCTCATTAAAATCCTTCGAGAAAGTCCCGTCAAATTTGACCGCACGATTGCCATGCAGCCCGTCATTCACAAAATCCGTTCGCTTCCAAACAATGCGTTCCAGTTTAGGAATCTGTCCTTCGAAACACCGTCAGATGCACCGCCCATGCCCTCCAAACATCAGCTCACTGGCTACCCCTCAACCCTGAAAGACCACATTATGTAGTGCCCTGCACAATTCCATCCTTCGACTCCAATTCCCAAGTTCCCAACTTCAGCGGCAGAAGTATATTTATCACACACATCATGTCCCAGTAGTATCGGTCAATCTCGTGGTTGTTGTCTGCTGACTCATTTCTTCCAGGTCCCCGACAAACATGATGCGTCTGATACATATCAAGCGCGCCGATACTGTGGATAGGAAGCCACAACTGCTATTTTCTCGAGGAATGGCTGCAGCAGCTGTGGATTCGAAAAATAACAGTTTACCATCCGCCGCATCATCCGCTGCGCACGTAGCATACCTCTCGATAGATGATCCGTCCGATGGATCGACTTCCGGCGCAGACTCTCAGCCGTCCCCCGCGGCGCCTGCGACAAATGCAACCGTTGTAGCGAAACATTTGTTAGTACTCTCCAGCTGCGACCGCGAGGACTTTGACTCGGAGTTCCCGGGAAGGAACTCTGGCGCCGGGGGAGAGCCTTGCCGCCGAAGCTTCTTGGATCATCGGCCCAAACGTCAGCCATACCTTCGGCACGCCGCCTCGGCGTCGGAGGTGGTATTCTTCCCCAAGACGAGCTATCATCATAGCACCAAGTGCGGCGCCGCCGCGGCGGCAGGCCACAACGCGGACGCGCCGTCAGCAGCGGCTGACGCCATCCCAAAAATTCAAAGGCTGAATTCAGTTCGAAATCGTGGGATACCTTGGGGTATCGCTTCCTACGTTACCCCATAGTTGCCTTCAAGATGCCAACAGGAAACATGTAGGGAACAACGACGCGGGCGAATTTTGTCACCAAATCGTTTACGATCGTGAATATGAATTCGACGAATCAGGATGCAGCGAAATTTGACGTCACCTCAAGGAAACCCCTCCTGCTTCGGAACGAGGCTGGTCAGCTGGTTTGCTTGCGCTGTTTCGGCAACCGAAGCTGAAACCCAAGCAATCTCACGGTACAATCTTTTATAACAACGGCAGTGTAAATCATACAGCCATTAATAACGAACCTCCCCATATCAAGGTGTAATTTGATGGGTTTCGCAGGGAGGCAGGCAAAATATCGCTGACCAATCACAGCTCTCCTCGTCACTACAGCAAGCAAGACAGTTCATTCGCCAAGTACTTTACCACCCTTCCCCTGACGTTCTCTCATTCTTCATTGTTGATCCATCAAGTTCACACTGACTATCTCCATTCTCTCATTCTCCCCCTGACTATCTTTCGCTCTATTCCTCCCGCGCTAAGTTTCCCTAGCTCCGCGTTTGTCGCTACACAGAGCGTCACTTCCTTAAAGCTATGCATGCACGCTAAGAGATTAGGTTTCTTTATCAGCCTGCTATTTCACCAGCTACGTATTGGAAAATTCCGTGATGACGAGGACTAATGACGTGTTTATTTGATTATTGCGTCTTCATGGCAGACTACCCGTGGTTGGATCGACGCGTGATTCTTCGCCAGCATCGCGTCTATTCTGTTCAAAAAGTGCTTCTGAGGTAAGCTAAAGGGCTTTGATTTACCAGGGAATGCTTTCCGGCAGTTGCCTAATCAGCGCCATTTATTCGGTGTTGCTTCTTGTCGTCATTTTTGTTTGTCAGGGCGCTGTTCTATTTGTCAGCCACCCGGCTGGTACTGGCTTTCTCGTCATGGTATTTCTTTCATTGCAAATCTTTGCCATTGCGCCGTGGTTGTGCAGACTCAAATCTCTCTACATCCAAATTAACTCTCTCTGGTGGGAAGACAGCCGTCGTTACGGGACAGCTGTACTGTGGCGACATGGTAATGTTTCCCTTTCCGTGTGGTTCCTTAATTTGGTCTTCTCATTTACTGACTATTCTCTGCTTGTTTGTTTCGTTACCTTGTTGTGGCAGGCAATATTTGTTCACCTCATTTTGAAGTTGTGTTATGCGTTGGAGAAATGTGGGTCTGTTGCAGTGCTATTTGTAGTTGCGTGCCTTTCATGGCATATGGTACCATCTGGTGTTGCTCAGTGTAAGCAAATTTTTTTAATCAGTGTAATGATTATTTTTAGGTGCAACCAACAACTGTACTAAAAACTGCTTGTACATCGTTGTGATTTAATGTGCATAAACACGCTTGTGAAATTGTATGGAAATGGGTGGTTCTTTTATCGTGTAACGAATAAAACACGTACGTATCAGTTTCCATGCAACGTAGTGTACTGAAGTGTACTGTGGTAGTGTGCTATTCAACAAATTGTTCGCGGCGCGCACGAAGGTGGCCTCTGATTCGCTCCTCCAACCTGGGAACGGAAACCTTGTGGCGACTTGTAGGTTACCGTGTGGGTAACCTCGAGGTCACCACGAACTGTTGAGGTTGCCCACAGGTATCCTATACTGAATCCTTTGGGTTACCCACAGGGAGGTATCCCGGAGGTGACCTTGCGTTGTCTTTTTGCGCCAATATTTTTTGGGATGGCGGCGGAATCTCGTCTCCAAATCGCTGCTGGCCAGTCCGCCGCGCAGCCGCGCCGCACGTTGACTCGGTCCGCGTCTTTCCAGCCAGTCGGCGGATGCAATTTGCTGTCCAGCTCGCCGGAAACGATGGATTTTTTCGCTCTCAGAGTCCCCGAGATCGCTGCCGCCGCCTCGGAGGCGGCGCCCACCTCCCTGGCCATACCGCCGCGGACACCTAACCTCCGCCTTCCGCCTTCCCCCGCCTCCTCCCGCCGCACCCCCCCTTCGCCATCTCACGCATCCGCCTGCCCGCTTCCCCCGCCTTCCCCTTCCGCCTCCCCCGTTTCCTCCCCCCATGCTGCGATGGCTGGCAGCTTCGCTCGCGGTGGCGGCAGTGGAACCGGGCAACAAGAAAAGCTTCTGCGCAGCATGAGCAGCCAGTGGTACAGCTCGCGCAGCCTGCGGGATGGGCGAAATATTTCAGTAAGCAGCCCGAGCCGGATGCTGTCAACGAATCTGAATCTGAAAGCAGCAGCAGTAACATGTTTTGCGGATGACTCACCTTGCATTGGTGCTGACTCAGCAGGCGATGCTCCTTCCAACGAGGCGATTGGCTTGAAATCCCCAGGTAATGGGACTCCAGCAGCCGCTGCCTCTTCAGCTCCTTCTGCCACCCGGAGTGCGACAGCTGCTGGCATTCCCCGGCGAGGCGTGCTGAAACGAATGACATCACTCCCCAGCATGTCAGCCGCATATCATGCCAAGTCATCACTCCCTGCCACCTCACCACTCTTCATCCCCACCTCTGCTATCCCACCTGCCACAGTCACCACTGCCGAGGCTATAGCAGACGCCACTGCTGCTGCTCCATCTACCACCGGACCTCCCTCCCCAGCTTTCTCCCCCAATGGATCCCCCAAAGGCACCTCACAGCTGTCCCCAGGCCTTTCTCCCAAGGCGCAGCACGTGAGACGCGTGTCGTTCTGCAGCATGGTTCGCGTGCGACGTTTTTCCGCCTGTGATGCTGACCTCGGCTCTGCTGCTGACGATGCACTCACGGCAGTAGCTAAGGCAGAAGCTGCTGCTGCAGGTGAAAGAGAAACAGCAGCGGCAGCAGCAGCAGCCACTCAAGTCGCTGCCGTAAATGCAGCGAAAGCATCCCAGGAAGCAAGAGAAGGGAAAGAAGCAGAAGAGAAAGCACGGGCTGCTTCCGATTCATCTGCTGCTCGGCATCCCATCCAGCGGGGCATCAGGAGTTTTATCGAGAGACCTCACCGCCGCCACTCCCACTCCCCTTCCTACTTCGGACCTCTTCACCTGATTCCCGAGCTTGCCGCCCCATCCCGAGCCATTCGCCGAAGCTCATCGTTTCAGCATTTGGGTAAGAGTGGTCCGGCAATACCGCACACCAGGACGGGTGGTCCAGACCGCTCATCAGCTGGACGCAGTTCCTTGAGTGAAAGTAGAGGAGTGGGCAGCGGTCTTAGGGAGTTGGAGCTGGAGATGTCACCCCCCTTGCCCCCGAGAATACCCTCCCCAAGAATGACTCCCTCGCCTCGCGTGCAGAGGCTGCTGCAGCACATGTGGGGTGATGTGGAGGGTGGAGACCTAGCATAGGTTATTATGAGTTTGAGGTGAATGGGTTTTTGCTTAGATTTTTGTTTTCTAAGCTAGGCTTAGCATTGTGCTACCCAGCCCAGTACAACCAACATGAACTCATGATTCCGCATGCTGTCCCACTAAACCTAAGTTGTATTATTCGAATACCGTGTCAGTGTCACCGTAGGCGTAGGCCTACCGTATGAAAAGCGTTGGTATCAGGGTGCTTTACCCTGATATCAGGGCCTATGATATCAGGGTAAAGCACCCTGATTACCCTGATTTCAGGGTGATGCTACCTCCCCTCCCCTGAAATTTCAGGATGTTTGTAGTGAAAGCCCTGTAATTTCATGATAATTGATTTATATCACCCTGAGATTTCAGAGTGTTCTACACCCCCCTGCCCTGATGCCTCAGGGTGGTTATCTTCGATCCGCTTGTTTTTTTCGCACTGTGTAAAGGGGGCCCTGAAGCCATACGTAGATTACCTTGACTGGTCTGGGGCGCTGGCTTAGGATCTATTTGTTATCAACGTCTCTAATGCATGTTTCCCAACGAGGCGTCCCTGGTAGTGTAGAGGCTGCTAGCCTAGGTGCTTGTGAGTATGCTAGCACAAGTGCAGTTCTTGCGGAGGCTCTGCTCACCTTCACGCTGGACTCAGGCGCGTCTCGCACCACTCACACCACAGTCACACCACTCACCACACGTGTCCTTGTCACTCTGGCTGACCCCTCCTCTGGTCCAGTAGTTGCACGTAGTTCCATTGGTCTCCCGTGTCCGGCAGTCCTCTCTTGTTCCCTCACAGGTCTCCACCTCCACTCGTTCGCTACGAACTTGGTGAGTAACTCTGTCCTCCAGGATCATTTGGACACTACCACCACTCCTTGGGGGCGAGCTTGTGGCGATCTGTACGGACTCAGTGACTGGCGACCACCTCGCCACATTCACTCGGAGGCCTGGGTCTGGCCTGTACACACTGCAAGTTGAGTCTGCACAGTTGGCTAGGTCCGGTCAGGTAGCTGCGTCTTCCTCGTGTCGGTTAATCACGCACCCGTCTCTCCTCTGGCACCACCAACTTGGTCACCCCTCCCTCCGGCGTCTCTGTCGCATGCACTCGCGTCTCCTTGTCTCAGGCCTCCTGAGGTCCTGCCCCCGCTCCCTCCGTCGCTTGCGCCGCCGTGCACTCCCTGCGTCGAGGGGCGGCAGCGCGCGGCTCCTCACTCCTCCTCGTTCCCTCCGACCACTGCTCCTCTGCAGACCCAGTCCCTGTGCCGGGCCGTGTGCGCTACTTCCTGCTGGTCGTCGACGACTACACGCGCTACACCACGGTGTTTCCCTTGAAGCACAAGGGAGACGTCCGTCTTGATTTGATCCCTTGGATCCACGCTGTTTGTCGCCAGCTGAGCGCACGGTTCCGTCAGGACCTCCTGGTGCTCCGTCTGCACTCTGACCGTGGAGGTGAGTTTTCCTCCGGTCTCCTTGAGGACTTTTGTCATGAGGAGGGCATCACCCAGTCGTTCACGCTTTCGGCTTCTCCACAGCATGGCTTTATCATGGAGGTTGCTCGCACCTCCATGATCCTCTACTCAGTGGAAAAGTGTACATGAGGAAAAGTGTAACGGCTACCTTAGTCTGAACCTACCATTTGTTGTCAGGTAAGGTGGTTGATTCCCTTGGCGTGTTCCCTTGCAGCAAGAGCAGGGATGAGGGCATGAGCATGCGAGCAACATGCGGCTGCTCCCCATTTTCTGTGGCCGTTTGCGGTCTGATACGCCGCGCATCAGCTCAACCTCTGGCCCCGTGTCTCCGAGACAGAGACCTCGCCTACACTACGTTGGACGGGGGAGGTTGGCGATGCGTCGGCGTTTCGGGTCTGGGGTTTGCTTGCCCTTGTTCGCGATACCACCGCGGGCAAGCTCTCTCCTCGCACTATTCGCTGCTTCATTCTTGGCTTTCCCACCAACGCCCCGCCTTAGCAGTTTTACCACCCTGCCACGCGCCGCGTCCTGTCCTCCCGTAACATCACCTTTGACGAGTCTGTTTGCTACTACCGTCTCTTCCCCCACGTGTCTTCTCTTGTCCCCCCGCCACCCCTCTTCCTGGTTCCAGGTTACCCCCCGGTATACACCCCCCCCCCCCTCGCGTCCTGCTCCCTAAGGTGTGTCTCATGTCTCACCTCCCCCTTTGGTTGCGCCTTTGGAGGTGTCCTCAGACTCCACAGGCCCGGCTGAGGGGGGTGACTCTGCTGCTGACGACACTGCGGCCTCTCGCCGCTCCCCGCGCTTGGAAACCCCTCCTGGTTTTCCGCCTCGGCCGCCTTCGCCACCTCTGCAGCCTGTCGCTGTGGACTCCGGTGCTGCTGGGGGTGGTGACACTGGAGGTGCGGGCTCTGGGGTTGCTGGGACTGGCGGGCTCTGGGGGTGCTGGGACTGGGGGTGCTGGTTCTGGGGGTGCTGGTTCTGGCGGTGTTGGAGCCGGTGGTGCTGGAGGTGCTCCCACTGGAGGTACAGGGGGTTCTGGTGTTAGAGGTGCTGGAGCTGGAGGTACGGGAGCGGGTTTCAGGTAGGGCGGCGGTTTCAGGTTGTGAGGACGGTGGGTTTCAGGTAAGGCGGCGGTTTCAGGTCGTGGAGACAGGAAAGGTAGCGGGCGACGGGTGGGGAGCGTGACTAACGGCCCGCACATGCGCGCGACTGCTGCTGTGCGTGCTTCGCGGCGTACGTGCGCGCGGCTGCGCATGCGGCTAAGGCTGCGCGTGCAGTGTGCGTTTGCTGCGCGCTAGCGGGCTGGCGGGCAAAACGCGGGGCAAAGCGGGTGACGCGCTGGGCAAAGCGGGTGGGGCGTGGGGCAGAAACAGGTGACGCGCGGGGGCGACTGGGGGCGCGATCTACTCGGGCGTTAGGCAGGGCGCTTCGGGCTACGGGGCGCTACGAGGCGCGCGGGTGGTGGGCCCATGACTATCGAGAGAAATATCGCTAGGGAAAAATCGCCTAGGAAAAATCGCCGAGGGAAAAATCGCCTAGGGGGAATCTCGCTCTATACAATGTTACAATATGAGAATGAATGACTAGCAAATGAAAAAACAAGCAAGATATAGGTCAGCCATAACCTAGGACAAAAGTAATACACCTAGACTAGAACAATACAAACTATATAATTATAGTTTGACAAGCTGGGGGTGGACAGCGCCAGCAGTTGCGTCCGCAGGCGACTCTCTCGCCGCAGCAGCTCCGTGAGTGGGTGTTCCGGCACAGTGCTGAGCCTGGAGGTGCTGGTTTTGGGGGTGCTGAGCCTGGGGGTACTGACTCTGGGGGTGCTGACACTGGAGGTGCTGTGCCTGGGGGTGCTGACGCTGGAGCTGGAGGCACTGGAGGTCCTGGAGCTGGAGCTGGAGGTACTGGAGCTGGCGGTGCTGGAGGTTCTGGTACTGGAGGTCCTGTCGCTGGAGGTGCTGGAGGTTCTTGTGCTTGAGGTACTTGAGCTGGAGGTACTGGAGCTGGCGGTGCTAGAGGTTTTGGAGCTGGAGGTACTGGAGCTGGAGGTGCTGGAGGTGGCGGCGCTGGAGGTGCTGTTGCTGGAGGTACTGGAACCGGGGGTGCTGTGCAGCCACGACAGTGGCAATCGTTCTTCTTGGACCAGCCGCAGTCGTCATTGCCACCACCTGGCTCGGCTCTTCGCCATGTTCTCAGTCTTCCGTCTTCCACTAGTGTTACTCCTCCTGTACTGTGTCCACCGACTGACGTCCCAGACACCGTTACAGCCTCACTCCCCATTGCCTGCTCCTTCTCCTTACACTGAATCGACAAACTCCCTGACTGAGCGTCGAGAGCCAGCGTCTCGTCCTGCCACACCTGTTCGTACTCGTCGTGCTCCCTGTGTTCGTCCTCCACCTGTCCCCGGCATGCACACCATGGCACTTCGTCCTTCCTTTGTTGCACAACGTCCTGTCCTGCCGTCTCCTCCAGCGTCCTCTCTTCAAGACATTCCTGACCCTGAGTCTGACGTTGCTCGTGCTGCTAGTCCTGCTGTCACGCGTGTTCTGGCCACACTTGTCACTGACCCTACCTTTGAGTACACCGCTGCGTCTGCCTTAGTCACTGAGCTAGTTGACTTTTCGTTGCATGCGTGGTGTGAGCGTGTGCAAGAATTTGTATTTGGCGTGGTTTAGATTTTCTGAGTGTGTGTGAATGTTATTTGGCTTGAGCAGATATCTGAAGTGACTCCTCTGCTCGAGAGCATTCCGACGCACCTGGAACCCTTCGAAGTTCGTATGCTTCTTATATTTGGTTACAGCAACTTTGGGAACTTGTGGGGTGACTCCATAAGAGGTATAGACCATTGGGGGTTGGGAAATTCGTCACTTCTGCTGTAGTTGCTGCCAAATGGTTGGGAGAAGCCAAACCAGGTTGGCAAGTGTGGCCAAGTTGGGTGAGGTGGATGGCATGGGTTGGGAAAGTGACAAAGGTCAAAGTTGGGGTGCCTATAGGGAGGGGAATTGTGTGAATATGGGGTTTCATTGGTTGGGGACTCCTTGGAGACCTTCCCTCTCGTCCTCCTCATCCCCTCCTACCTGGATTCTAGCTACCCCCAGGTGCGCCGAAATTCATAACTCCAGTTTTACTTCACCTATTGATACGATTCAAATTGGAAATTGTAGCCACGGTCTATAGCTACAACTTATCTAAAATTGATAAAGGTTTAACCGTGCAAGTTTCGTCGAAGACGTTTCTTGTGAAGTCGACATTTCTGTCCAGCAATATAGTCCAACGATTTTGAGATATTTCGGCCCCTAATCTTCATAGACTCCGTCCTCAGTTTCCAACACATTGTTGAGGCCGATGAGGTGCAGCGGCCTTCAAGGCAGGTGGAAGTCTCTGTGTCAGAGGAGGAGATATCTGGGATGACTGAGGATGAGGGAGAACCTGAGGTGGAGCAGCAGCAGCAGCAGCAGCAGCAGTCGCAGCAAGGTGCTGCTCCACGCGCCCCACGCCCGCCA